GGTAATGGATGCAGTTGTTCCTACAAACCGACCCAAATAGGTAAGCGTTCGGAAGGGTAGGAGAGGTAAGATGTGTATCGAATATCATACGGTACCGCTGTCACACTTGATGATTGTATCGGACAATTGAAGAAGACCAAGTGTGAGTACAGACCTAGGGCACCAACATCCGCGAAATTCAACACTGAACTCTGAACCCTGCATACGGGCCAAATGAATCCCCTCTCGAAATTTATCCTTTCCATATGGCCCTAAGCGATCCCAAACGTAATGAGTAGTAAGGGTGCAATCTCCACCTCTGCACCCAACCACATCTTGCCGACCCAACCACATCTTGCCGACCCAACCACAACAAAAACCCACCCCACCCTGTCGGCGACCAACCAGCATCACTGAGGTGACTGAAGGAAGCACACGTGGGGTGCTCAAACACACGTGTGCGCAAATACACGTGTGCTCAAACATACGTGTGCGCAACTACACGTGTGCTCAAACACACGTGTACTCAAATACACGTGTGCGCAAATACATGGCGAGGTCGGGAATGTTGTGTTGTAGTGGCAACTTGTTGAAGATTGTATTGGTCGGTGATACAGGAGTTGGTAAAAGTTGTTTGTTGGTGCGTTTTGTTGATGATACATTCGCGGAGTCATATATCAGTACGATTGGGGTGGATTTTCGTTTCCGGGTTATCAAGATAAATGATCGGCCAACTCGGTTACAGATATGGGATACAGCGGGTCAGGAGAGATTCCGTACGATTACATCCGCATATTATCGTGGCGCAGATGGAGTGGTTGTCATGTACGATTGTACGAATAGGACATCTTTTAATAATGTAGAATCATGGGTTACCGAAGTCGATAAACAATCAGGAGGATCCGCGATTAAGATCCTAGTCGCAACTAAGTCCGATGCCCTCGAACGAACAATCTCTACGGAAGAAGGACAACAAAAAGCTAAGTCTCTTAACATGCTCTTTGCAGAGACTTCCGCTAAAGCTCCAAGTCGTGTTGAAGAACCCTTTAATATACTCGCCTCCGAAATTATCAAACAAACGTATGCACACATTACATCCCTATCTACCACTTATGGACACACACTCTACTACTTTTGACACACACACTCTACCACTTTTGACACACACACCCTACCACTTTTGTACACACAC